TTCACAGTTCCCTGCACCATCTTGAAAGGTAGCCGTGCCTTTGCATCGAAGCAAAACGAACGGTGAGCATGCAATAGTAGAGACCTTTTTTAACACCTTGGACAATTGTTCACATGTCTCTATTATTGCAAGCTCGCCGTTCGTCTCGCTCCTATGCAAAGGCACGGCTACCTTTCAAGATGGTGCAGGGAACTGTGAAGGGGACTATTAAAGGGTTTTTTTCATTATTCTTATCAAGAATATATAAAAAGAAAAGAAATATTTCTATTTATACATTTTGGACTTACTAAGCTAGAAGCTTGTGGGGCTGTGTATCCTCCATACACTTTCTTTACTACATTCCAATATTCTATACACCACTCAACTGGAGAACCCAGATAAACACTCTTGTAGCATAGTAGAGAACATGTCAAACAAACTCAACTACTAACTTGGACTAACTACCTACCTATTCAAAAACATTGGTGAAGGACGAGGCCTTAGCAGCATAACCAATGCTAACCACATGGACTAGGTTAATGTTATTAAGATATTTACTGATGCTTTACAGCCAACTGGTTTGCTCAGCTGGTTGAGCATCAGACTTTCGTACGGGAGGTCGTGATTCAAGCCCTGGCTAGACCAACACTTAGGGTCTTAAAATAACTGAGGAGAAATTGCTGCCTTTGTAATTACATTCTGCAAATGGTTAGACCTTCAAGTGGGTTGGATGACCACTTTAAATGTTGGTAACGTCTCTCTACACTCATCATTACTAACCAACATTTGAGGGACGTAAAAGAACCACTGAGGATGTAAAGAAACCCTGCTGGCAGTGACCACCCTCAGTGCCTACACCTCATACTAACCATCTCTCATGCTTGTAAATTGCATAAAGCAATCTGTCATTCAGTCTGTCATTCACTCAATGTAAAGCGCCTTTTATCCATATAGAAAGGGCGCTATGTAAATCATAAATCATTATTGTACTAAGTCTTTCGATCTAGTCTATGAAGCCATTAAAAACACATTGATTATTATTCCTGTGTGTATATATGCCCAGCTTTAAAACGATCTTACAATGTATCATTTATCACATCCATCAAAATAGGCATGTACATTTAATAACAACCACAGTTTTGTATATAAAGAAAACTAAAGTCCTAAATAGGTAGAGCAATCAGTAGTACGATTCTGAAGGTCGTGGGTTCGGTTCCCAGCGAGGCCGGAAATTAATTTTTCCAAATTTATTTCCAAGGGTCTTTCGCCCGGAATAACCTCGTTCCCAAGCACTATATCTTATCTATAATTCTATATCTAGTACTTATCATTACTTAGGCTCAAAAAAGTTAAGAAAAAGTATACTTTTTTCAAGGACAAATGATTTTGATGGAGTAAAACTTTGCACTACCATTATTATTTTCCATTTGGCAGATCAAAGTCCTTTTAGCTGCCATTAGTAAAATTTGACCTGCATTTTGGCCACGCATTGGCAGGCAGCCATTTGGAGCTCTGAATACTTTGTTTGCTTTTATAGTATGTCACTTGTTTAATCCAACCAAACATGAACTAGAATTCATTTTTTTTCTAGTTAAGATCAGCACTGATAGAGGTTGTTTCGTTTTTCAAAAAATTCAATGCTTGGATTGGTATAATTTTGTTTCTTTACTTTGTTAATTAACGCTTTTTCTCAGGGTGTTTTCTGTAAACCAAAACAAAATTAAAATGTAACATAATAATAATTAAACTTTGGAGCTTCGGAATAATCTCTCTGTTATATTTCAAACTTACTGTAAATTCCAGGTAAATTATACACCAAAACCATACACGAATTCAATTTGAAATGTTACAAAAAATAATTAACTAGTAGACCATTCATAGATTAAAAAAATTCAAAATCTACAAGTTCTATCTGCATTTTTTTAAATTATTACTAATTGAATTGATTCTGATTTACGATTATTTGTCATCGGACAATTAAATCTTTAAAATGCAACCATACACCACAACCTTTACTTTTCTTATTCGCACCAGACACAGGAGAATAAATTAAATTCGTCGAGTTTCTGATTTGACCAATTATTTGTAAAGTGTATAGCTGAGTACTTGGGCATGCATTTGTAAAGAAAGAAGCGTCTATTGTTCAAGCCATGAGTTCTCTACACGTGCGCTGAATAAAAGAATTACAAAACGACTGCTTTGGTTCCTATATTCTATCAATCTACAAACTATAGATTCTGGGAAGAACTTTAAGAGTTAAAGAAAGATAATCGTCAACGTTTCTTGCTTTTCTGAGCTTCTCAATGCCCTAGCTTGAGCTTATTATATGGTTCAGATTTTGTACGAGATGGTCCTATTCAAACACGCGAAACTTATCATCGCCTAACCTTATTCTCCTAAGATATTTGGATACAAGCAAGATTATTTCCCATGATACCAAGAAAGTACGCCATAAGACTTATATCTTAGGTTTATTTTTTAGGTTTATTTTTTATTATTCCATTGAAAGCTAAGATAAACAATATGCAGAAATGAGTACATGACTGCAGTGAAAATATTGGTCAAACAAACCACAATTTAGTCACTTTGAACCTGGAAACTCTGTTCAAATCAGCCATTACACCACAACACATCAATACTGACTTACCTTATGTAGAAGACAGCCCGATCTTTGGTGGAAAATTCGGAAAATCAATGAAATTTTAACGTTCAACAACAACAATTTAAACATATGCCTGGGGGATTGAAATACATATAGAGAGGAACTGGACGTAACACAGGGAACCCAAATGTTTCCTAACATTTATGACCACGTGTCATTCTCTTGAGATTACGATTCATTCTTGTGGTTGTATCCATATTCATGTTTCTTCTCATGCGAATCCGTTAAACAAAGAAATGTTACTTATTCGATCAAATAAATAATTTCATCACAAGGATTTACAGTACTTTTCTTGTATAAATGTAGTTTCGGTCATACATGAGCTCGACATTCCAAACTTTGTAACAAGTTCCACTGCACGCTCTAGATCTCTTTGATCGACTTCTACTGATCTTCTTCAACCCAGCCATTGCAAAACTACACTTTTCAGGAACTCTTTTTTCAACCCCATAGTTTTTCCATGGAATGCTTTGCCGTCTTCAATACGTAACTGCTCCGCTACGAAAACTTTTACACTTACCGCCTTTCCAAAGTTGACACTACATTTGACGTTAACAGAACAAGAACCTGGAAGACATACTGTTCTAAAATACCGCTCATACAATATCACCTGCTGCTCGTGGCCTTTAAGAGATATTTATGAAATCATTGGGATAGTACGTGCGCTACGATTAGTCAAAAACCATGTTTGATGAGGGTATCAGAACACGCTCGCGTCATCCTTTACAAATATATCAGAATAATACGATATGTTTTTCGTTTTTTTTTTTGTTTTTTTTGTTTTTTTTTTTCGATATTTGTTTGTCATTTTATAAAACAGATCAAGAAACAGTTTTTGATCTGCCAGTGTTAAACAGTCAATGTCATTGACGTTGTCCAGGCCGAGCGGCAAAAAAAAACAAAACAACAACAACAAACAAACAAAAGCCGTAAAAACTAATAAGAACTAATCCTTTTTATGCATTTCAGTTGCACTGAAAATCGGCCGCCAAATAGACAAAGGTGAACGGCGTCGCTTCGCATTCTTTACTGAAATTTTGTTGAGTGAACTGATAAACAGCAAGCCTATATCGCTTCGAAAGCGATGATGTTTCGGCCCGTTATCTATTTATTGTGTGGCATTGCTGAATAAAGAATTTTGGTCTTGCTGTGGTAATGATTGGGTCTCCTGTATTTTGGAAATGGCAGACAAGAGCGATCTCGCGGTACGCTTTCACGTTGCAAAGTCTTACGCAAATTTCGATGGAAATATTTGATATAAAATTCTCTTGGACGAAATACATCGTAATTAAGTTTTTTGGAGATTTTAGTGGTTCTTGCTTTGAAACATCGTAGTGTTTTGGGGGGAAACAGGGCAACGTACGTACATATAACGTCTCGCCGAACGAATGAGAGATCCGACAATAGATATGAACAATGATTGAGTATATCGCAGAGAG